GCGATTTGGCCACCCAGCAAAATATTGCAGATCTATAGCCGAATGCCCAGTCTGTGGTGCCGATGACCATTCTAATAAGTCTTGCAGTCGAACTCCCTCTTGCCTCAATTGTCATGAGGCTCACCCTTCATACTCTCGCCGTTGCCAAGTCTACTTAAATGAGCGAGAAATTCGTTGCCTCAAAGAGGCAGGTCTCCCTTATGCTATGGCGGTTTCTCATCTCCGCCTCCAGGGGAGACTGCCCCGTGTTTCTTATTCTCGTGTTTCAAAGCGTCCCCCCACTTCTGGGGTCACATCTTCTGCAGCCTCCTCTGCGGCTGCCAGTCCCATAGTCACTCCTGTATCTAATTCTTTTGCTGTCCTGGGCTCAGACGTCCCTACTTCAACTCCTCAGTCTGTCCTCACTCACAAACCCCGGTATCGACAAGACCTCGTACTACACCTCCTCCCAATCGTCCCTCTACTTCTCAGAGGCCAAAAAAATCTCCTTTAACCCCTCCTTCTCTTCATCCACCTCCACATTTTACCTTCCCCGTCTCTGTACCTGAGTCTTCCCCTTTCACTGGCTCTGTTACAAGTGTGGAGGTTCATCCTCTCCTCGTACTGTGCCTTCCTCCTCTGTCCCCTCCCACGTTTCTTCCTCTTCTGCCACCTCCCAGGTTTCTGCCTCTTCTGTACCCTCCCACACTTCTCCAGTTCCCTCCACCCTTTCGCCCCCCCCCCCCCCCGCCTTGGTACAGTCCATTACAGCTCCGATCTTTACTCAAACTCCTCCTCCTTCCATCTCCAATATTGTCTCCCATACGACGTCTCTGAACTCCGAAACACTTGAAGCAATCTCTGAATATATTGCAGAGACCAAACCATCAATGGACACCGATCCACCCTCTGTTCCTTCTCTTTCCTCTTCTCCATCTGCGCAACTCCTTTCTTCACAACGCACCATTCCTTCGCTACTTGAACGTTTTCCTTTGCCACTGCATGTTGACTTTTCTAACCCCTCTAGTTCGTAGGTACCCTTACCTGCGGATTTCAGGTATCTTTATCGTTGCCAATCATGGCCTATTTACAGTGGAATATTCATGGCCTCAGGGGTAATCGGGGTGAGCTTCAGATGTTGCTCTCCCAGTTTTCCCCTGTTGGTGTTGGCTTACAGGAACTAAAATTACACTCTGCCATTATCTATCCTATCTCAGGCTATAATTTATTGTATTCTTCAGATCCTTTTCCTGATGGGACCTTTAATGAAAGTGCCCTTCTTCTACGCACTGATATTCCATACCATCAGCTATTTGTTCGTACTTCGCTGCATTACACAGCAGCCCGTATCCACTTGCATAGGTGGTATACACTCTGTTCTTTGTATCTCTCTCCTTCTCGGGCATTATCTATCCCAGATATTGCCTTTCTTGTTTCGTCATTACCGCCACCACTTCTGTTACTTGGCGATTTTAATGCCCATCATTTCCTCTGGGGGGGTCTCACTGTGATTCCTGTGGCATTCAGTTAGAGGCTTTTCTTGCTACCCACCCCCTCCATGTTTTAAATACAGGTACTCACACCCATTTTGATCCTCGGACTCATACTCTCTCTTGCATCGATCTCTCAGTCTGCTCTTCCTCCGCCACATTAGACTTCACCTGGTCTGTTCTCCAGGATTTACATGACAGCGATCATTTCCCAATCATTCTTACTTCCCCTTCATATTCACCACCTCTTCGTAACCCACGCTGGCAATTTAATCAGGCAAATTGGAACCTTTACTCACAACTAACTGTTTTTAGTGAGGTTCCTTCTTCGTCCTCCATTGATGAGCTTTTACACCTCTTCTCGTCCTCCGTTTTAACCGCAGCTTCTCATTCTATACCCCAAACTTCGGGCAGGCATTCTCAGAAATGCATGCCTTGGTGGTCTCCTGCTTGTGCTCGTGCAGTACGTTTGAAACGCGCTGCGTGGGGCAGGTACCGGTACAGTAGAACCACGGAGAGACTTCTTGATTTTAAGCAGAAGCATGCTATCGCTCGCCTTGTCATCCGTGACGCTAAACACACTTGCTGGCGAGATTATGTCTCCACCATCACCTCTGCTTCCTCTATGAGTGCAGTCTGGAAAAAAGTACGAAAACTGTGTGGTAAATATTCTCCTGACCCGGCTCCTGTTCTGCGGGTTGCCTGTGTTGATATAGCAAACCCACTAGATATTGCCAATGAAATTAGCAATCATCTGGTATGTATTTCTCAGGGGCTCCATCTATGCCCCTCGTTTCTTTCCTCAAAGTCTGCCAGAGAGTTAGCACCCTTGGACTTTTCTTCTCTCAGAGAAGAACAGTATAATGTGCCTTTTACACTTCAGGAACTGGAGGCAACACTCTCAGCTTGCCAATTATTGGCAGCTGGGCCCGACAACATTTACATCAGTCAGCCCTTGCAGTCCTATTATGCCTTTTTAATCTTATTTGGTCACAGGGAGTTCTTCCAAAGCTGTGGAAATCTGCCATTGTTCTCTCTTTCCGCAAACCAGGTACTATGGGACATGAAGCCTCCCACTATCGTCCCATTGCTCTTACCAGTGCAGTTTGCAAAGTGATGGAACGCCTGGTAAATAGACGTTTAGTGTGGTATTTAGAGACACACAACAGTCTCTCCGCTAGTCAATATGGCTTTTTTCAAGGGCCGTTCTACCAAAAGACCCCTTACTTAAAGCCCTTTATACGTATGTTCGTAATGCCCTTTGCGAATAAACCCCTCAGTTATTGCCATATTTTTTGACCCTGAGAAGGCATATGACACAACTTGGAGGTATAATATTTTGGCCCAGGCCCACTCCTTAGGCCTCCGAGGCAATCTACCATCTGACAGACATTTCTGTGTTTGAGTCAATAATATTCCTTCCCCGGACTTCGTCCAAGCTGAAGGTGTCCCTCAGGGATCTGTTATAAGCACAACACTTTTTCTCCTTGCTATAAATGATTTGACCTCTGTTCTTCCACCCAATATTTGGTCATCACTCCATGTTGATGACTTCGCTATTGCTTATGCAGGCGCTGACTGTCATCTCATTGCAGTTTCTCTCCAGCATGCGGTCGACCGTGTTTCCACTTGGGCCACCACGCATGGGTTTAAATTTTCAAGTACCAAAACTCACCAAATTACTTTCACTAGACGCTCTGTCATCTCCGATCATCCTTTGTATCTCTATGGCTCCGTATCCCCGAACGTGATACAGTCCAGGTTTCTAGGCCTTCTCTTTGACCGTAGGTTATCCTGGAAACCTCACATTACCTCTCTGAAGGCAACTTGTCACAGCCAGCTAAACGTTTACTTCTTAAAACCCTTGCTCATCTTTCCCGGGGAGCCCGATTTGTCGAACTCTTGCTTCGCCTACATTCAGCCCTCGTTTATCGAAACTCAAATTTTGGGGACCAGATTTATTCAGCGGCCTCTCCTCTACTCACTCTAGCCTTAACCCTATCTATCACCAGGATTACGTTTGTGCCTTGGTGCCCTTTTTCGCTCTTCCCTTGTTGAGAGCCTCTATGCAGAAAGCGAATGTTCCATCCTTGCTGATCGCCGTGATGCCCATTGCCTTCGCTACTATGTTCGCTCTCACGATCTCCACAATCCTTCCATTTATAGAATGGTCACCGAATATTAGTAGACATTCTTTATTCGTTCGCCGCCCCTGTTTGCTCCCCTCCCTTTTCTCTTTGCCTTCATTCACTTTGTCTTCCCTTCAGTTACCACCTTATATGTTCATTAGCATCTCACTTTTCCCCACCCCCCCCTGGGAAGTTCCAGCTCTTCGGGGCTGTTCTTTCTCACACCCGTGCTCGAAAGCTCAACTGCCTACGGGCTTCCCGCTCTCTTTTTCTTGATCACTTCCACTCCCATTCTCATGCCATCACTGTTACACAGATGGGTCTAAGTTTTCAGACGGCGTCGGATTCGCAGCAGTGTTTCCGGACAGCGTCGTGCGGGGGCATTTACTATCTTCGCTAGCATTTTTAAATGCTGAATTGTATGCCATTCTTGCAGCACTTATTCGTATCGCATCTATGCTGTGTCATCATTTGTGGTAGTCTCAGACTCCCTTAGTGCTCTACAGGCTATACGAAAATTTGAAAACATCTCACCCCCTAGTTCTCCGTACCAACTTTGGCTACGCCGTATTCCCCTACGAAGCCCTAGATATTATTTTTTTGTTGGGTCCCGGGCATGTCGACGTACAGGGCAATGAACAGGCAGACACTGCTGCGCGGGCAGCAGTACATGACCCTCCCCAAATTTCCTATAGAGGTTTCCATTTCTGGACTAATTTGCTGCAATAGCTACCCACCTTCACCCCGTTGGCAACAACGTTTGGGCAACTCTGCTTTGGTAACAAACTTCTTCTATTAAACCGAGCATAGTTACTGGCCGTCTTCTTGTCATCAGTGCCGTGGTTGGGAGACTACTCTCTCCCGTCTTCGCATTGGCGACACTCGTCTTACCAACGGGTATCTCATGGAGAGGCACCCTGTACCTCTCTGTGAGCAGTGTCAAGTTCCTGTATCGATTAGCCACATTCTGTTAGACTGCCCTCTCTATCAACAGCACGCAGAATTTACCTCCAACGCCGACTTCGTTCTACTACTCTCTCTTTACCTTCCCTTCTTACTGATGAACCCTCCTTTAATCCTCTCTCATTGACTTCTTGACTGATTTACTCCACAAATTCTGATGATGATACCTTACGCACTCCCCTCAGCCCTTTCTAGCTCAGTCTCTTGCTACCCTTTCACCATCCACTGCTCCACTGTTATCCGTAACCTATTACTCATCCACCTCCCTTTTGCCACCTGATGCCCTCGCTTCCTTCCTGCCCTGCAGCGCTGTATAGCCCTTGTGGCTTAGCGCTTCTTTTTGATTATTATAATAAATCCCCAGTATTAAATATGAAATCATTTATACATGCTTATACATTTAGCCTCAAGGAATCTTAATTTATTCAAGTATGTTTTTATAATATTTATTTCATAAAACTGATTACAGTAGTAAGTACATTAAATCACATTTTGTTACTTATGTACAGTAATACACTTGCCTGCAGAAACAAACTACAATGATAAAAAATATGCAAAGATGGAAGTTCAATAAATTCTTATAAGTTTCCTTAACAAAATATTCTATCCACATTTTACAGTAACAAATATTTAATTGGAGAGAAACTCTAAAAAAAACTTGAAAAATTACTGATTATTTGATTACAATGCAGGAATTTCACCTTGTAGTCAAGTTTTATAAATTACAGATTTTTAAAAATCATTTACCATCACAATGCAATTCATTATTTTCATTCACCCAAAATATGAAGACATAACAGGCATACAATGACATCATTAGCAAATTAAAACAGTATACAAAGTTGCAATGTTAATAAGAGTAAAGTAGTAGTAGTAAAGATAAGGAAGCAAGCAGGGAGAGCTCAAAAATCCCACACACCTTTGGTGATGTAATTTTGTGACATGGTCATACAAAAGTTAGGAGAAAATTGACAATTATTATAATCAAAAAGAAGTGCTAAACCACAAGGGCCAGAAAAAAAAAATAAAAAAATTATAAGACTAACTGTACTTCACAGTACTTTCTTGTAAGGATTATACTACATAGTACAATAAAAGCTTGTGGTGTAGTATGCCTTTGCATCTTCGAATAATAATTACAAAATAATGAATACACCTCATTAATTTTGAATATCTTTCACTGAATTACTATAATTTATAATAATGGTTAACTCCCTTTGTGCTACTAAAGGAAAATTAACACATGTATCTTATCTCTCAACCATACAGACTCCTAAAACATAAGACTTTGCTGTATTTAAACACAATGCTTGTGAGAGGCTCAAGTTATGCACTTGAAGTGAAAATCATGAATACAGCTGCAGTAGTTCAGCTGAAGAAACACACATACATGTATGCATATGTCTGTATGCATACATGCATGTGTTTTTCTTGTGTGTGTGTATGTATATATATGCACGCATGCACACGCACACACACACACACGCACACTGCTGCAGCATATGGGGCCTGGCAAACCTGAGAATAGCGTTCCAATACCTCAGTAAGGAATCATTCGAGACTCTGTAAACCGTGTACTTCAGGCCCATATTGGGGTATGCAGCACCAGTTTGGAACCCACACCTGGCCAAACACATCAATATATTAGAGAAAGTGCAAAGGTTTGCAACAAGGCTAGTTCCAAAGCTAAGGGAAATGTCCTACAAAGAAAGGTAAAGGGAAATCAGCTTGACGACACTGGAGGACAGGAGAGTTAGGGGAGACGTGATAACGACATGCAAAATACTGCAAGAATAGATAAGATGGACAGAGACAGGATGTTCCAGGGATGGGACACAGAAACAAGAGGTCACAATTGGAAGTTGAAGACTCAGACAAGTCAAATGGATGTTAGGAAGTATTTCTTCAGTCGTGGAGTTGTCAGGAAGTGATGTAGTGGAGGCAGGAACCATACATAGTTTTAAGACGAGGTGTGATAAAGCTCATAGAGCAGGGAGAGGATCTAGTAGCGACCAGTGAAGAGGCGGGGCCGGGAGCTGAGTCTCGACCCCTGCAACCACAATTAGGTGAGCACGCGCACACACACACACACACACGACTAATTTGATGTGGCAGTAACGTTATCTGGAGAAAAAAAAATCTTGAAAAATTAGGCATAAACTTCCAACAATTTTTTATGAAATTAAAAGCAGTATTTTATGTCTTATAGGAATAAAGTTCCTAAATATAATTGATATCGTGACAAAATACTTTTTAATGAACCATGAATCTACATTTTGTACTCTGGAAAAACTAATCTTTTTACAATATTCATATATGGAAGTACCTAATGCAGAATTCACTTTAAAAATGATGACATATGTATAGGCTTTATACAGACTTCCCAACTGCCAGTAACTGTGTACAGTGGACCCTCGACCAACGATATTAATCCGTTCCTGAGAGCTCATCGCTAATCGAAATTATCGTTAGTCGAGTTAATTTTCCCCATAAGAAATAATGGAAATCAAATTAATCTGTGCAAGACACCCAAAAGTATTGAAAAAAAATTTTTTTACCACATGAAATATTAATTTTAATACACACAAACTGAAGAAGACATGTACAATTACATGACACTTACCTTTATTGAAAATCTGGTGATGATTGATGTGATGGGAGGAGGGGAGACAATGGATGGTGTTAGTGTTTAGAAGGGGAATCCCCTTCCAATAGGACTTGAGGTGTCAAGTCCTTTTCTGGGGTTACTTCCCTTCTTTTTTTAATGCCACTAAGACCAGCTTCAGTCACTGGACCTCTGTCGCACAACATATCTGTCCATAGAGGCCTGTACCTCCCGTTCCTTTATGACATTCCTAAAGTGTTTCACAACATTGTCAGTGTCACAATTAAACACTTGTTCAGGTTTCAATTCTTCACTGTCTATGTACTCCTTGAATTCCTGCACATATTTTTCAGCTGCTTTTTGGTCCAAACTGGCAGCCTCACCATGCCTTATAACACTATGTATGCTACTATGATTCTTAAATCTCTCAAACCAACCTTTGCTGGCCTTAAATTCACTCACATCACCACTAGTTGCAGGCATTTTTCTAATTAAATCCTCATGCATTTATTATTATAATCAAAAAGAAGCGCTAAGCCACAAGGACTATACAGCGCTGCAGGGCAGGAAGGAAGCGAGGGCATCAGGTGGCAAAAGGGAGATGGATGAGTAATAGGTTACGGATAACAGCGGGGCAGTGGATGGTGAAAGGGTAAAGGGCAGCAAGAGACTGAACTAGAAAGGGCTGAGGGGAGTGCGAAAAGTATCATCAGAGTTTGTGGAGTAAATCAGTCGTTGTCAAGAAGTCAATGAGAGAGTCAGGATTAAAGGAGGGTCCATCAGCAAGAAGGGAAGGTAAAGAGAGAGTAGTAGAACGAAGACGACGTTGGAGGTAAATTCTGCGTGCTCGTTGACAGAGAGGGCAGTCTAACAGAATGTGGCTAATCGATACTGGAACTTGACACTGCTCACAGAGAGGAACAGGGTGCCTCTCCATGAGATACCCATGAGTAAGACGAGTGTGACCAATGCGAAGGCGGGAGAGAGTGGTCTCCCAACCTCGGCACTGATGACAAGAAGACGGCCAGTAACCTATGCTCGGTTTAATAGAATGAAGTTTGTTACCGAGCAGAGTTGACCAACGTTGTTGCCAACGGGTGCGAAGGTGGGTAGCTATTGAAGCAAAATAGTCCAGAAATGGAACACCTCGATAGGAAATTGGTAGGTCATGTACTGCTGACCGCGCAGCAGTGTCTGCCTGTTCATTGCCCTGTACGTCGACATGACCAGGGACCCAACAAAAAACAATATCTTTATGTTTGGTAGAGATACGGCGTAGCCAAAGTTGGATACGGAGAACTAGGGGATGAGATGTATCAAATTTTTGTATAGCCTGTAGAGCACTAAGGGAGTCTGAGACTACTACAAATGATGACACAGGCATAGATGCGATACGAATAAGTGCTGCAAGAATGGCATACAGTTCAGCAGTAAAAATGCGGATGGTAGATTGCCTCGGAGGCCTAAGGAGTGGGCCTGGGCCAAAATATTATACCTCCAAGTTGTGTCATATGCCTTCTCAAGGTAAAAAAAATATGGCAATAACTGAGTGATTATTCGCAAAGGCATTACGAACATACGTATCCAAGCGTAGTAAGGGGTCTATGGTAGAGCGACCCTTACGAAAGCCATATTGACTAGCGGAGAGACTGTTGTGTGTCTCTAAATACCACATTAAACGTCGATTTACGAGACGTTCCATCACTTTGCAAACTGCACTAGTAAGAGCGATGGGGCGATAGTGGAAGGCATCATGTCCTGTAGTACCCGGTTTGCGGAAAGGGAGAACAATGGCAGATTTCCACAGCTGGGGAAGAACTCCTTGTGCCCAAATAAGATTGAAGAGGTGTAAGAGGACTACAAGGGCTGACCGATGTAAATGTTGTAACATACGAATATGAATGTCGTCAGGCCCAGCTGCCGATGATCGGCAAGCTGAGAGCGTTGCCTCCAGTTCTTGAAGTGTAAAAGGCACATTATACTGTTCTTCTCTGAGAGAAGAAAAGTCCAAGGGTACTAACTCTCTGGCAGACTTTGAGGAAAGAAACGAGGGGCATAGATGGAGCCCTCGGGAAATACAGACCAGATGTGTGCCAAGTTCAATGGCAACGTCGAGAGGGTTTGCTACATCAACACCAGCGACCCGTAGACCAGGAGCTGGGTCAGGAGAGTATTTACCACTCAATTTCCTCACTTTTTTCCAGACTGCACTCATAGAAGAAGCAGAGGTGATGGTGGAAACAGTCTCGTCAACAAGTGCGTTTAGCTTCACGGATGACACGGCGAGCGATCGCACGCTTCTGCTTAAAATCAAGAAGTCTCTCAGCGGTTCTATTGTACCGGTACCTGCCCCATGCAGCACGTTTCAAACGTACTGCACGAGCACAAGCAGGAGACCACCAAGGCACGCACTTCTGAGAATGCCTGCCTGAGGTTTGGGGTATAGAATGAGAAGCTGCGGTATAAACTGACGTCGAGAAGATATGTAGGAGCTCATCAATGGAGGATGAAGAAGGAACCTCACTAAAAGCAGTGAGGTGTGAGTAAAGATCCCAAATTGCCAGCGAGGGCTACAGAAAGGTGGTGAATAGGAAAGAGAAGTAAGAATGATTGGAAAATGATCGCTGTCATGTAAGTCTGGTAGAACAGACCAGGTGAAGTCTAGTGCAGCGGAGGAAGAGCAGACTGATAGATCGATGCAAGAGAGAGTATGAGTACGAGGATCAAAATGGGTGGGAGTACCCGTATTTAAAACATGGAGGGGGTGAGAGGCGAGAAAAGCCTCCAACTGAATGCCACGTGAGTCACAATGAGACCCCCCCAGAGGAAATGGTGGGAATTAAAATCACCAAGTAACAGAAGTGGTGGTGGTAAGGATGAAACAAGAAAGGCTCGAGAAGGAGAGAGATATAAAGAACATATTGTAAATCACTTATTCAAGTGGATACGGGCTGCAGTGTAATGCAGCGAGGTATGGACAAATAGTTGACAGTACGGAATATCATTGCGTAGAAGAAGGGCACTTTCATTAAAGGTCCCATCTGAGAAAGGATCCGAAGAATACAATAAATTATAGCCTGAGATAGGTTGGAAAACAGCCGAGTGTAATTTTGGTTCTTGTAAGCAAGCACCAACAGGGGAAAACCTGGAAAGCAACATCTGAAGCTCACCCCGATTACCCCTGAGGCCGCGGATATTCCACTGTAAATAGGCCATGATTGGCGATGAAGAAAATACCAGGAATCCATAGGGAAAGGCACCTACGGACTAGAGGGGTTAGAAATGTCAACGTGTGGTGGCATTGGAAGACGTTCAAGCAGCGAAGGAACAGAGCTTTGTGAAGAATGGGGTTGTGAAGATGGAGGAGAGGGAAGAGAAGGAACAGGAAGTGAATCAGTGTCCATTGAAGGTTTAGTCTCTGCAATATATTCTGAAATGGCTTCAAGTGTTTCTGAATTTGAAGATGTATGGGAGACCATATTGGAGATAGAAGGAGGAGGGTAAGTAAAGATTGGGACAGTAATGGACTGTACCAAAGTAGAGGGGGAGGGAAAAGTGTAAGGGACTGGAGATGAAGTGTGGGGGGGGGGGGGACAGAAGAGGCAGAAACCTGGGAGGTGGCAGAAGAGGGAGAAACTTGGGAGGGGACGGGGGTGGAAGGCATAGTACGAGGAGGAGGGTGAATCTCCACACTTGTAATAGAGCCAGAGAGAGGGGAAGAACTAGGTACAGAGACTGGAAAGGTAAAGTGTGGAGGTGGAAGAAGGGAAGGAAGGGGCAAAGAAGATTTGAGCAATGTGGATTTTTTGGACTTCTGAGTAGAGGGGCGATTGGTATTAGGTGTCGTACGAGGTCTTGTCAATACTGGTGTTTGTGAGGAAGGACGCGAAGATGTGAGAACAGACTGAGTTGTAGTCGGGACGTCAGAGCCAAGGACAGCAAAAGGATTAGGTGCCGGAGTGGCTATGGGAGGGGTAACAACAGAGGAGGCTGCAGAAGATGGGACCCCAGAAATGGGGGGATGTTTTGAAACACGAGAATAAGAAACACTGGGTAGTCTCCCTTGGAGGCAGAGATGAGTAACTGCCATAGCATAAGGGAGACCTTCTGCCTCTTTGAGGCAACGGATTTCACGTTCATTTAAGTAGACCTGGCAACGGCGGGAGTACGAAGGGTGAGCTTCATTACAATTAAGGCAAGATGGAGGTTGACTGCAAGATGTATTAGAATGGTCATCAGCACCACAGACTGGGCATTCGGCCATAGATCTGCAATATTTCGCTGGGTGACCAAAACGCCAGCAATTTCTACACTTTTGAGGTGTAGGTATCACCTTTCGAACTTGTAACCGATGTCCCACGACATATACAGAGGACGGGAGTTCTCGGCTGTCAAAAGTTAAACGAGCTACATTGCAAGGGTAACGTCTCCGCCCACGGGCAGGAAGGACATAAGTGTCTACTTTGAGGATTGGGAGATCCTGGAGTTCCAGCTGTTCAGGAATGTCATTGCCACATGACTGGAAATTCTGTTGGACTATGGTATGGGGCAGAATGACAGTACCACTACAAGAATTGAGAGAAAGATGTTTTTCAATAGTGATAGGAGTAGCATCTATATGCGAAAGGAGAGAAAAATCATGAGCTTGGGTAGCATTCTGGACAGTGACGATGCGCGTACCGCTCTTGAGAGCATGAATTGAAATATCTCTACCAACATGACGCAGGAGCGCTTTGCCAATACTATGGTCAGAAAGGTAGGCAGAAGAAGAAGTTGGTCTTAAAGTAAAGAATTTAGTCTATTGTGTGGTCCGAAACTGAGCGTGGAGAGGGAGTGCATGACGTGTCGGTCTTTTCCGAGTAGAATGGGAAGGTAACGAAGGAGCATCATCAGGAGATTGACGTTGGCGTTTAGGAGTAGGACCGGAGTTGGTCCGGCGTGAAATGGGCGGGCAATTCGAAAATTGCCGTACCGTAGAGGGAGAAGCCGGAAGCATAGTCAAAGGAGAGCGGAGTTCAGACAAATCGAAGGAGTCAGTCGAAGCCCCGGTACCTGAAGCGGGTGAGGAAACAGCACCAGCAAGAGGTACAGGGGCATCAGGAGTGTCCGAAGAGTGGTCTAAACACAAGGAAGGGTCAGAATGGGGTGTGGTATCAAGAAGGGGCCCGGGGGTAGTGGGTTCATGGACTAGGGCTGCCATGGTTAGGCTACTCCTTTGCTTTTTGTTTTTAAGAAAAAAAAGAAAGAAGAAAAGAAATTAAAAATAAAAAAAGGGGGGAGCGGGGAGGAATAGTTCCCAGGAGGAATGAAAGGGCCGGAAATCTCCCTCCGCGCCCAAGAGGACCTCAACACCGCTAGTAGCGCAGATGTAGCATGGAACCCGTGCCATACCCTACCCTTCGTGCCAGTAAACCAGCAATCCGGGATAGCAACCTCACATCTGCCGAGCTACCTCGGTGGACAAAAGAGAGGGCGGCCGGATATCCGCCACAAAGCATACCTCCTTCGGCCACCACCCCCGGAATCCGAAAGGTGGCTTCCAGAGATACACCCGTCGCCCGAAAGACACCCAAAGCTACTCCGGGATACCGGAGAGGGATCGGGACATCCCCAGGCAATCCAGATTCCACGGCAAACTACGCCACCGCCAAGAACCTCAACGGAATGGGATGGACCCTGGTGTCCTTTCCCCTACCTAGGAACTAGCGCGCCTGTGGGAGAAATCCCAAAGGCCAAAAAGAGGAAGGGCAAAAGGGAGGGGTGAGGAGGAGGAGGAGGAATGGAAAAAGGGGAGGATGGGGAGAATGGGATAGGGGAGGGGAGAATGGGGGGTAATTAGGTTCGGTCTGAGGAAGAAGACCGACAGGGCTAATTCCTCAGACCAAGAGCCTCTTCACCACGCCAAGGAGCCCCCCTTGAAGAGGAAATCCTCATGCAACTTCCTAGCCTTTTCACATATGATCGCTTGAGAGATGCTATCTCCTGCTATCTGTTTTTCGTTTATCCACACCAATAAGAGTCTCTCAACATCTTCTATCACTTGCGATCTCAGTTTCGAAAACATAGTTGCACCTTTGGCAAGAACAGCTTCCTTGATTGCCGTTTTCTTGGCCACAATAGTAGCGATGGTTGATTGGGGTTTTGTGTACAACCTGGCCAGCTCGGAGACACACACTCCACTTTCATACTTAGCAATGATCTCTTTCTTCATATCCATAGTAATTCTCACCCTTTTAGCTGTAGGGTTGGCACTAGAAGCTTTCTTGGGGCCCATGGTGACTTATTTTGCAGGTGCAATCACTAAAAATGCTGTGATAATATGAAATGTTCCAATTGTATGTTTGGATGGGACCGCAGTGGCTGGCTGGCTTGTAAACACTGGCCACAAGTGGACGCGTCTCAGACGTAACGAATCGTGTTGGTTGAGTTTTTTAGCGCTAGTTGATGCAAAATTTTTGCGTTAAAATGTATCACTAGTCGGATTTAACGTTAGACGATACCATCGTTGGTCCAGGGTCCACTGTATTACAAAAATAATTAGACGCAACTCATTTGTAGGAGAATCATAGTGCATAGCCATATTATATATAGAATAATTAGATATGATCACTTTACCTGCTATAATGCTTGAATAAATAATGATTTTACAGGCTAAGAAATTATTTGATGCATTTAAAATAAGTTATTTTTTTCCTTTGTGTTCAAGAAATCCATATACACCAGCATTATCCCTCAGTTGTGAGAAACATTAGCTACATCACAAAAACATGAGATGCCTGATTGCTTACAATTAAATCACCTTCCCTTATACCTGCTATAAAGCATACATTACTTGTACTTGAGTCCACTACAAGAGACAGTGACAAGCCACAAACTTTAACCTCACTCACTGAGTTTTTACTCTTCAGCGATGCACCATGCAGTTATTTTTATAAAGCCTTTCCCCTTTTGTTTTTATCCCCTAGTCTATTAAGAGATGGAATAAAATAGCCACCTTATAAAATATGTACCCTGCCAAGATAAATATGTCTTATTATAGTCAAACTCTCACTTCTTTATCATCTATGGCAGACCTATGAAACTTTTAGTATACACAACTTTGTTCTTATAGCTAACCTTCAGCCTACCTCACACCTGTTTTGTTGTAAAGCTTTGATAAAACCATATAAAAAAAATAGTCTTATACAAACAAAAAACATATGAAGATACAATATGAGGTATTAGTACTGGTGTAAGTTGGACAACTTTAAAAGAATAAGCTCATCTGGAATAAGCAAATATCCGAGTCATTAAGCATACCTTGGGGGTCTTCATATACTGTACATGTTTAAAAATAAACATTTGGTAATGGACAACATACAGTAATTATAAACAAAAACAAAAATACAGAAATATAAACATTTACAATTTATAGATATAAATACTGTGATCGGACAACAACATTGGCACAAAATTAAACAATTAACGTGAAAAAGAAAAATGTACAAAAAATAAAGAGAATGGACGAGCTTCATCAGCTATCCAATTTCATTGCACATATAGCATTCACAATAGTCAAAACCTATGTGGAAAGCAATGGTACAAAAGACTACTATTTACAGAACACTACCAATTCATGTATGTACAATAACCAGTCAGCATGTTCATTGCTAGCAATTGTGCTACACATGTCAAAGGCGCACACTTTTGGTTGTAATAACATGCATCACTCATACAAGACTTTTAATGCATTCACAATAAACTACTACATATCAACATCACACACTTTGGGCATTTACAAAAATGCATCACTCACATAGAAACATTTTATACTGTACATTCAGAAAAATTCATATATGTCCATGGTGTCACAAAGAGCAATAAGGCATAAAGACGAGCCGATCAACCTCAACTGCTGCTCTGCTTTTCAAGGGGTCAGTTTAGCTGCCATGAAAAACCAGAAATATGGTTTCAACACCACTGTCAATGACCAACTTTTCACAGCACTTGAGTTATAAAATATAAAGCTACTCTTTATATGCATGGAGATCACGATGTTTTGTCAACAGATACATTCTGCATTAGTTTTGGTCCGTAAAAACTTCTAGGCCTTAATAAATACTAATTTTATTTTGAAAGTTGATAATTGAGTTAGTTTCCCAAAATGTTATCTGGACCAGAGAATGTACAGACTTGGCTGCTGAAATACTGCACTGTATAACTGTAGTGTTAACAAAATTTTTAGATTTATGATAAAAAGAAAAAGGCAGTTTGTATACAAGTTAAGAGGAATGTTGAAAATAAGAGAATGTATAAACTCACCAGCAAAGACTACCTTCAACTGCTGGATAAACATCATAAAAAATGGTCAAAAGTTCTGTGTAAACAATAATAATCAAGAAGTTTGTAATGTAACTATATAAACTACTGAATATCTGATCTATACTTCCAGTACTGAAGATATATGGAAACAATCTGTTAACTAAAGAGTGACTGCAGGTGGTAAAAGATGACGAGTGAGACAAAGAAGCTACACAATATTCCAAGTTACTTTTCAGAGAGCACTAAACACTGTCACTTTTCCTGTGCCCTCGACTAAGGAGTACCATAGTTAAGGACCAAACAACACTGATAATATATCAGAACTGGGGAAATAACAAGTAAAAATAATAATAGCAGTTAAGACACTAATTCTGCTAACTGGGCACTATTTTAAATCTTTATCATTGAGCTTCTTGAGCACCATTAGAGGATTCTTAAACTGATCTCAGAGCAGTTTATTGCTCTCCTATATGGCATCCCACAAAAATGAAGTCACTTTAGCTTTCAATATTTTACAAAATTGATACATGGATGAAATCTTGAAGATTATATAAGTAACCACCTCTTGCAATAGGAATGTGATATCAAAGGTGTAGTCATGGAGAAGGAGCCAGGAGACTGCTTGGATTATCTTAATGCTAGTGACAAGAGGTAATAAAGAAATAGATACTATATTTGAATAATGGCATGTTGAGAGGAAAATGGGAATGGAGAATGAGTGAGACAGGGTGGAATGCAAGTCTCATGCTACAAAATCTGTTTAAACTAATATTTGCCCAAGCATGCTTAAGTATATATGGAGGGTAAACAGCATTATTAGATTATACAGCTCCAGACAGCCAATAAATGTAATTTGCAGAAAACAAAGCTAAATGGAATAATGGCTTAATAGTATTTATATAAATTATGATTGCCTTTTATTGCTAAATAAAAGGAGAAACATATAAAGGATAACAGTACAAGGAAGCCACAAATTCTGAATAACAATGACAACAAATGTAAAGATCTATTAAAATGTACTAACAAAATTAGCAAGAAAAGTACGAGTAGACGTTAGGGAGAGGACAGAGTGGAAATGGTGTACCAGAACCAAATATACTTTCATTTTTTATATTTTAAGAATCAACTGCCTCACACTTCTTAGCTTGGCTGTAAATATGACTAACATGAAGCTTGTAAAATCAAATGTACATTTAGCAATGTATTTAAAAAGTTCATGTTCCACCATGCATAGAACAAAGAGATGTTACATCCTTGTATAGTATGAAAAGAAAATAGTGTTAAAAAATTATGCCTAATATTGCAATGTAATATACAAAGTTGATACTAAGAATGAGGGCAATTTTTTTAATTTTTATGTATTAACAGGATTCACAGTAATACACTCCTGCAAGTATATTGTTGACAAAGTGCACAAAGTTTTATTTTTAGATCAATCTGAATGGAAGTAACATACCTTACAGAATATTGTATAGGTGTAGCACGAGTCGCCCAAACACCTATTAGTGGTCCTCCAAGCAGTACCCTTAAATGTAAGTCCTTTCAGATTATGATGCATAGCAATCATTCTGATGGGGTTGGTCAAGTAAATGAGAGAATACAAACTTATTAAAAGATACAGTGGTTGCAACATGACACTGGCTGGAAAATACTTTTTATCAATTCTGTTGATTTCTTTATTAACAGAAAAGTTACAACAGGTAAATGGTATTAGAATATCAGTCACATTATTCCAACCAGTTATGTGCAGTTACCCATCTTGCATTGTTGTTTCTTCAATTTTATTATAAAACATGCTACAAAACACACTTCTTTTAAATTCTGATGCAGTACTGATATACCCAGCTGATATCTAACTTTTTTATACACATGGCTGATTCAGCCTCAATAAAAGTAAAAAATTCTTCAGTTCTAACACCAATTTTTTAACTGTATGGTACTGTAACTAGTATGACAAACTCATCTCAAGAGCAGTTTGTGTAAAGCAACATTTCTTAGTTTACCCTTGATATGATCAGGTGTAAATATATCTTTGAATTTGGCACATAACCCATGTAGAGTCTTAACGAGAGCTGCAAATATTACTGACTAAAGCAGTAAATCATTGAACACTTTTCTTTTTCCATTTTAGGACTCTGAAAACCCAGAAGTGTATTTATATTTTTACAATATATAACTGCTCATTTTCTTGTATGAAGAAAAATATTATTATTATTACATTTAATAATTTTTAATTCATTCATTAAATATAATCAATAGAGTGAAATGGCATTCATAATAGATTCATGAAAGTAATCCACTTCTAATATTTGCAATAAAACAACATTCTATCAGTGTAGCTAATATAAGTTTTGTTACTGAATATCTTGTGTTGGCACTGCACATCCAGTAAAATACTTCTCCCTCAACCAATACTCTTAATGACAAGGACACACTGCCCATGGTTTCCCCCTCTGACTACTAATCTTGACTGGACGCGACCTTGGCTGACAATTTCACCTGCCGCCAGTGTTGCACTTGGTCCGCACTGTAGGCACTTTGACGCCCATTATGGGGCCGGAGTACGAATATAAATTGTTGTACTCTTAACCTCTCACTGGGGCAGGAGACTTTGGGGCTGACAAAGGAGAACATTAGTTGGTAGAGTTAACAATGTGTCAGCAACTCAATATTTTGCCTCAAATAATCAACCAAATTCTATGGTTCATCCTACAGCTCATGAACACCTCACTGGTGGTTGAAAAAACTGTATTACCGAAAAACCTTAAAAATACAGCCACATTTAAATTCAATAATAACCAGTGAATAACAATCTACTTAGTACTTAACTATTGCTACTGACATCTTAAAAAAATACTGGACTTAATTTTAGACTATTTTTGAAGTGCACAGTCCATGAAAAGAAATGACATAAGACAAAATACTGCTAGTTATTAAAACTCTTGAATCCTGCCCCAAGTCTGCTAGTGCTATTTTTAGCTGTAAAACATGACTAACAAGGATGATAAAGACACTAGCCACCTAAGATAACATGGAAGAATGTAGCTATGTTTATGTAATGTGAGGAAAACAATAAGATACTCCTGCTCTGGCTTACTCATATGCCTGAAAACATTCATGATTAGTTTTATACCACCATAATTGTAATGTCATTTCTGAGTGAGCATGTAATCAAGTATGACCATCAGTGACAATGAATATTGAGAAACGAGTTTAGGTAGGCAATTAATTCTTTGGCAATGATCTCAATTAATGCAAATGTACACTTACAAATCTTATGATAAAATACAGAAATTGCATAATCAACTTTTACAAGAGCTTTCAGTCAAGTTTCTCATTAATAATTTTGAAATATACACTCAATTAGATTCTCTGTTAGCAAATTTCACATCCTCTACTTAGAAACACATTTTTCCGAGTTGTGCATCGGCAATTATTGCCATCAGCATCAGCAGTAAGTTTTAACCAAAGCTCCTATACCTAGGCAAGTGAACCATTCTCATTTATGACCTAATCTTGTATGTTAAACTAGGAAATCTATTGGGAATAGTGACATATAGAAGCACATGCTTCTTAAAGCATTCGACAGGTGAATATCAAACCTTTTTTCATCAGCATCTACAGTCAACCTAAGTTAATTTTTAAAAATTTATTAATGTAATTATGAGCTTTGGCTAATTCTAAGACTTGCTTTCACAATAATGAATAAAAATAGCATTAAATATAAATTGTGCGAGACTATGCAAGATGCAGTTCTCAAGAAGCTTGAAAGTATCACAGACTTTGGGATAGCAGACAAATGGCTCTAAACTGCTAATGCATTAGACACAAAATACAAAGAAAAAGAAAATTTCTTATGATATGTAAAAAGCCCTATCATTACACTATGCACAAAGATTATGAAATAAATAGGTTTGATCCTTCAATATCAGATGATTTGCGAGACGTGATCTGTTTAAAATTTTAATCTCTCAACACAGCTTCAAACATATCACAGGACCAGTTAAACAATCAGTCTGTGGTAGCAACCAAACGAGTCTCTATTTTACTTTGCCTCTTAAAAGACATGTATGTAATCAGGTAATGGCATATAACAAATATTACAAATGCTAAAAAAAATACTACTGAAGACCAATCTAATGGCTGGCCAAGGATATACATCATTAGATACCAATGAGTGCATCAGCCACTCTCAGTGAATGCCATCTCCTGAGATTCAACAAATACACTTTTTTAGGAAAATTGTTCATCCTGATTTATCTAATTCTCTTGCCACCAGAGGCCGATCAACATTTAGGAATAAATTCTCAATTTTTACTTAAATGTTTGAATACTCAAGGAGATAAAGAGTGGGTACATATGATGTGTGCTTATATCATGTACCAGCTACCGAGCAATATTTTTCTTGGCTAATTAATAATCTTTTACAAAATACTGACAATTCATGAAGTGAGCAATTAATTGTTGGATACCATCAGTACATTTACCTCATGAGTCATCAATACAGTCAGAGTATTCAGAACGAGCTATGAGCAAATAAGAGAATACAGATGCAAGTAATGACAATGATGCCAAACCTCGTCCTTACTGGAACATACAATACTCTACTTGAATCTTCCTCGAAAAGTATAGTCTTCGAATAACTTTTTTTTTTCCCTTGGTTGTCAGCATTAGTATATATCCTAGTCTCCTAATTTAGACAGTGGTAACTCACCAAGAAGCATTTCAAATGGGACATTTAAAAATATTATGAATTGAATCTACTTAACATTTGCAACCCCCTACATCCTTGCTTTAAAATTTATGCACACTCCTTTAGCGAGAGTCAAACATTACAGTCCTGAAAATATCACTGGCTAATTTTAATTTGAGGCGTGCAGGTTGCAATAAAATAAGCTATTAAAAGTACAAATGTTTCTGCAAGGACTAAACAGGTTTCTCTGAACTTATAAAATTTTCTTTTTCCAATATCCAAGGTTAGACATGAAAGATAATAAAGCCAATTAGCTAATCAAATAAATTTCAAAAATATTTTTTTTTTTTGGCTGATAAGCAGATAAGATTTTGCCACTAATGACAAACGCAACACATGAGTGACCTGACAACTTTCCACTACTTACTTCCACAGTCATTCATTAGAGAATGGCCACTACATCACACCTAAATATGCCAATTTACCATCTAAATATGGTCATGTACACCTGAAATGAGTAGGCAGTGATAGACTTTTAAACCTGAATATAGGTTTAAAATGGGTTTGATCAATGGCATTAATTTTGTAAGCAATCTGTTGCTTTCTTTTGAATTTATAACTTTAAAAATCTGACAAGGAGCTGTTAAGACCTTGTCAGTTGCATCATGCTGTAATACGCATATTAAATATAAAAAGCGGCAATAAAGATTAGCGGCATTCAGAACATGGGTGTGCGCGGCCTGGTGGGTGGTGAGTGTCGCGCCTGATGGTAATGATGGTGGCTATGACTGCGGTAATGTAAGGAGTGGAAATGGTGATGTCAGAGGAACAAAGGAGGGGTTGTGGTGGCATGATGACGGGTAGTGGTGGCAGTGGCAGTGGTAGTGTGTGGTCGCAAAGGAGGAGTGTGTGGAGAACGTGGGGAAGGACCCCCATATGTGTGATGACCAGACATTGAAGGCGGCGGTGTCAGGTGAGGTGGTAGTCGATATCGTCTACTTGACCTCCGACGATGAGAACCGCCAAGTGTTAGATGTGACCCAACCTGTCCAAATAAAGTTTCTCCAGAATATGTACTGTACATAAAATGATAAAAAATTACAATATCATAACAGCATTGCTTCTAACTTTTACATGGAGGGGAAGCACTTGCTCAGAATGGGTTGAAAAATATTAAAAAATAAAAGCTAAAATATTTGAAATACAATAAACCTGTGAAAAAAAATACAAAAGAATAAATAAAGAAGCTAACCGAGGGTAAGCAAGGGGCACTTCTTTTAACATGATCTAGGAGTGAAGCAAGAGCATATTGGACAAGTGTTATAAGTTAACCCACTCCTGGATCTGGTATCATTACTACAAAGTGAGGAAGGAAGGCATATGTATGTATCCCATATTTTGCTGGATATTTGTGAACCAGCCGAGTTCTCACGATAAAGTCAGTAAGAATGTGGTAATACAGATGAACACTGAAATTCTCACGAGTTATTCTCGAGGCATTACACGACCTGAATTCGCACTTAAGTTCTGTCTGTACTATATAATTTTAGATTTGTCTCGGCTTATACTTCAGAATCCATATATTTTTAACTATAACTTAATCTGGTTAACACTTTCAGGGTCGAGAGGCCCTCTCCTAAACTTGTTCTCAGGGTCGAAAATTTTTCGGAAAAAAAAAAAAAAAAAAATCTTATGAAATGACAGAGAATCTTTTCCCAATCATGACACCAAAAGTGTGAAATTTGATGGATAACTTATGGAATTATGCTCTCGCGAAGTCAGCAGTCTCGATGTTTACGCATCGGTGATTTCGCCCACTTTGAGCCCTATTTTTGGCCAATTCCAGTGTACTAGTTGACAAAAATCATAACTATTTCACTAGAACTCCATTTTTTCTATCGAATGAGTACAAGAAACCATCCATTTACCGATTTCAACTATCCAATAAAGTGGTCAGAAATTTGCAATTTTGCCAATTTCACACAAATTTCAAAAGATGCCAATTTCCAAATAGAGTCAGAAATAAACAAGACAGACATTCCTGGCACTAAAATAACATTTTCTCTGTTCATTAGTCATGTCCCCAGGCCCCTCTTATATCTCTTTTGCTTTCCACTTTGAATTTTCATTCTCACAAAAAATAGAAGATTTACTGTTATGCAGACTGCTGCTTTAGTGTAGAAATGGTATAAATAATATCAGCGTACTTGTAAAAGACTATTAGACTCACCAGTTAATGTGTATTGGAAGCGTGGCATGATTTGTTTACTTTTGAACTTTGGCAAAAATCAAACATTTCTGCTACTCTGAGCTCAATTTCAAGGTACTTTTCATTGTGAAACCAATCAAAATCATCTCAATTTCTGTAATATCTCTTCCATTCCTTAAAACGAAACCAGGAAAACTAGAATACAACCATAAATACCATACAAAAATACACTGCAAATTGTAATAAAGTTGGTAGAATTACCAATAATATGTAAAGTAAAAGGACACAAGTGCAACTAATGTGACATTTTATTGAGGCAACGTTTCGCTCTCCAGGAGCTTTATCAAGCCATTACAAACAATACATGGACACAGAGGGTATATAAAGGCTCAGAGTGAGGTGAATACTAGTGAGGTACCATTTCGATGTTCGGCAGCAGCGGCAGCGGCGGCGGCGGCGGCGGCGGCAGCAGCAGCAGCAGGAGGAGGAGGAGGAGGAGCAGCAGGAGCAGGAGGAGGGGGAGCAGCAGCAGCAGCAGGAGGAGGAGAGAGGAGCAGCAGAGGGAGGAGGAGGAGGAGGAGGAGAGAGAGAGGAGGAGAGAGGAGGAGAGAGAGGAGGAGGAGGAGGAGGAGAGAGGAGGAGAGGAGGAGGAGGAGGAGAGGGAGGAGGAGGAGAGAGGAGAGAGAGGCAGGAGGCAGAGGAGCAGAGAGAGAGAGAGGAAGGAGGCAGAGGCAGCAGAGCAGCAGGGCAAAGCAGAGCAGCGCAGCAGCAGCACAGCAGCAGCGCAGCAGCAGACAGCAGCAGGCGAGCAGCAGCAGCAGCAGCAGCAGCAGCAGCAAGCAGGCAGCAGCAGCAGCAGCAGCAGCAGCAGCAGCAGCAGCAGCAGCAGCAGCAGCAGCACAGCAGCGCAGCAGCAGCAGCAGCAGCAGCAGCAGCAGCAGCAGCGCAGCAGCAGCAGCAGCAGCCAGCAGCAGCAGCAGCAGCAGCAGCAGCGCAGCAAACAGCAGCCAGCAGCAGCCAGCAGCAGCAAAGCAGCAGCAGCAGCAGCAGCAGCAGCAGCAGCAGCAGCAAGCAGCAGCAGCAGCAGCACAGCAGCAGCAGCAGCGCAGCAGGCAGCACGCAGCAGCAGCAGCAGCAGCAGCAGCAGCAGCAGCAGAGCAGCAGCAGCAGCAGCAGCAGCAAGCAGCAGCAGCACGCAGCAGCAGCAGCCAGCAGCAGCAGCAGCAGCAGCACAGCAGCAGCAGAGGGAGCAGCAGCACAGCAGCGCAGCAGAGCAGCGAGCAGAGTCACAAGCAGAGTATGCACATTAAGTAGAGCATATTGATCCTTTACTAGACGAATAGTTACAATGTATCTTGCACTACTACACACACTCACACTAGAACATCAATGTACCTCACTAGTATGCACCCATCTGAGCTTTAATAGGCATGATTGTTGAATGCTGATAAAGCTCCTGGAGAGCGAAACGTTGCCACAATAAAATGTCACATTAGTTGCACTTGTGTCCTTTTACTTTACACACTGCAAATTCGCTATTTTAAACCAAAAACACGGTTGGAGTTTTTTTTTTTCTCATTATGCACTGTGTGCTGCAGGATTTTTTTTATACTGTGCACACTGACCAAATAGACCCATTCTTTCATATGTAGGCCTACCAGCTTTCTCTCACTAGATTTGAAGGCGCTAGAATTTACGCTTACTAGTACGTCAATAACCCTGGCGAGTAAGCTGTACTAGTACGTCAAAAACCCTGAGAGGGTTAATACTAACATTAACCCTTTCAGGGTCGACAGGCCCTCTCAGAGACTTGTTCTCAGGGTGGGCCAAATTTAAAAAAAAAAAAAAAAAAAAATTCTTATGAAGAGATAGAGAATCTTTTCCCGATCATAATGACACCAAAAGTATGAAATTTGATGGAAAACTTACGGAATTATGCTCTCGTGAAGTTAGCGGTCTCGACGATGTTTACGCATCGGCGATTTTGCCCACTTTGAGCCCTATTTTCGGCCAATTCCAGTATACTTGTTGACAAAAATCATAACTATTTCGCTAGAACTCCATTTTTTTCTATCGAATGAGTACAAGAAACCACCCATTTACCGATTTCAACTATCCAATACAGTGGTCAGAATTTAACAATTTTGCCAATTTCACACAAATTTCAAAAGATGCCAATTTCCAAATAGGGTCCAGAATAAACAAGAAAGACATTCCTGGCACTAAAATAACATTTCCTCTGTTCATTAGTCATGTCCCCATACCCCTCTTACATTCTTTTGCTTTCCACTTTGAATTTTTATTCTCACAAAAAAATAGAAGATTTACGGTTATGCAGACTACTGCATTGATGTAGAAATGGTATAAATAATATCAGCGCACTTGTGAAAGAATATTAGACTCGCCAGTTGACGTGTATTGGACGCATAGCATGATTTGTTTACTTTTGAACTTTGGTAAAAATCAAACATTTCTGTTACTTTAAGCTTAATTTCAAAGTACAGTGGACCCCCGCTTAACGATCACCTCCAAATGCGACCAATTATGTAAGTGTATTTATGTAAGTGCATTTGTATGTGTATGTTTGGGGGTCTGAAATGGACTAATCTACTTCACAATATTCCTTATGGGAAAAAATTCGGTCAGTACTGGCACCTGAACATACTTCTGGAATGAAAAAAGTTCGTTAACCGGGGGTCCACTGTACTTTTCTTTGTAAAACCAGTCAAAATCATCTCAATTTCTGTAACATGTCTTCCATTCTATAAAATGAGACCAGGAAAACTAGAATACAACAATAAATACCATACAAAAATATAGTGCAAAGTCGCTGTTTTAATCCAAAAACACGGTCAAAGTTTTTTTTTTCTCATTACGCGCTGTGTGCTGCAGGATTTTTTTTATACCGCACACACTGACCACATAGACCCATTCTTTCATATGTAGGCCTACCAGCTTTCTCTCACTAGATTTTAGGGCGCTAGAATTTAGGCGTACTAGTACGTCAAAAACCCTTGCTCGTAAGCCGTACTAGTACGGCCGAAACCCTAAAAGGGTTAATAAGAAAGTTCAGAAAGAGATTTGAGTGTGGGAAAGTCACCGAGGCAATTTTTAATAGAATTTTACAGTTAGTCTGATGGAAAAAATTATGATCAAACCACAGAGCCACAAAAAGACAAACAGGGATTTACCTGATGGTGAGAGCCGTCACCCAAATCAAGTGACATCTGAGTTCCTTCTAGATCCTCGAGTCCTTCAAGACTGCCCATCGCTCGGTCATCCAGATTGCTGGAGCCCAGATGCAGGGCTGAGAGCGAGGAAGATGCTAGGGCCACATCTGGCATAACATCACTAAGATGGCCTTCATCACCCTACAAACATTTAATGACATTTAATTTTCAAGCTAAAAACAAAAACAAAATTAAATTTAAAATTACTCTACATGCCAATGTAAATCATACAGTGAATGACTACCAAACAGGGTATTGGTGGAGAGTTGCTAGTGAGTGAATTATAGGGATGCTGTTAAATCTAGGTCCTGTAAGCTATTGAATAGTAAATACATGTATCTATATTTTAACATACTCTCCCTGAAAATTGCTTTTTCTTAAGAAAAGGCAGTTTCCAGAGAGAATGAGTGTTCAGGCTTCGAAGCCCTGAACACTTTTTAAGGAACAGGTGAAACACTTCCCAAACAATTCCACATTTTTGTTTATCTATATCTGTTACATGCTTATATTAAAACACATTAGAATTTCATCAGCACAAGCAACCCATTAATAAAGTACAACATAAGCAATAATTACACATAGTAAGGCAAAAATATATAAAACCAAAGCAAAGACTGACAAAATGTTTATTGCAATTGCTTCATAAGGGTGGAAAAAATGAAGCAGAATGCCAAGTAGTGCTCTCAAAAGTTGGCAGATAGGGTACTTTTAGAATCTTCAGGCAGAAAGTTCCAGATTTTAGGGTCTTTTATGCACATTAAGTTTTTACACAGTTTCAGTTGGACATGGGGGATATAAGAGAGATTTTGTGTCTTGTGTTATGCCTATGCATTCTGTTGCAACTATCAAGGAAGAGTTTCAGAGCAGAGTTGATATTAGAATTGATTGTCCTATACATATATAGTATACACAGTAGTATGAGTGAATATTATGTATAGTGAGAAAGTTTAAACTTTTGAAGAGTGGAGAAGAGTGTTGTCTGGCACTAAAGTGATGAATAATTTCACAGGTTTTTCCTCAGTTGAGTGCCAGGTGCAAGAAATTGTTCAGCTGGCAAGGAGACTGCCAGTTGAGGGTTTTGAAGATATGCAAGATGTAAATGAACTATCTGGGCAATGTCAGGACTCATTGCCCAGATACAAGAGAGGCAGATAACAGATGAAGATGAGGAAAAACAACCTGCAGAGAAACTTAACACTGTAACAATTATATGAGCAATTCCATATTGGTAAGGTTGCATACTTTTCACTGAAGAGGACCCCTGACAAAGTTAGAAGCACTGCTCTGAAACAGGGTCTGGTACATCCATGGTATACACAAATGTGTGATACCATGGAATAACTCCATTGCATTGAGATTTTGTACATTAGCGGGAGTAAATGTCCGGTGGGCTCCCCAAATAACGGACCATGTCCACTGCATCAGGTATCTCAATACAATGGATTCTCATTTAAGTGAACATGCCCTTTCCCTATTAGTCCATCATGGTAAGGTTTCATTGTATCTGCATTAATTTCACACTGTTAAATGTAGATCACCAAAATACATTCAGACACAGTAGTTACAATACAGCAGTCCCTGAGATACAAGAACCCTTGACACGAGATTCCGCCAATACAGTACAAGCATCTCTCTAATACCCAGCATCAACATACAGGTGCCTCTTTTCACCAATACTAGAATCCGAGAATCACACGAGTGTTTTCATGCAAACGAGTATTTAAACTAGGTGCGCTGCACATCAGTTGTATTTGTACTGTATTTATGTTGTCTTGCTTCCAAATGATATACTGTAACAAAAAATATTGACATTTCGTTGGTAAGGGAAAATAATGTTAAATGTGTTTTAGTGATACAAGTTTTCATGTTGCAAGTCATTTGTAGGATACATTAATCTCATATCTCAGGGGATTGCTGCATATACATATCTAGTTGAATAACCTGTAATAGACGAAAGTGATGAGGTGGAGGGTCGAGTAATGGGTCGAGCAAGAACTCTGGAGGGTGGAGCTTGGACCTGCCCTCGTCCCTCACAGAACACCGCTGTTCAACCTCCTCCTCTTCCTCCTCAGTATATGAGGCACCCTGCATGTTAACCAAGTGGGTTGATCAATGTTATTTATGCACCATTTAATACCTATACGTAATGTTAATACATATCAATAAGGAATTATCAAATTAAGGTTAAATATCAAGGGGTTCTTCAATTTTGTAATGTGCAAAATCATTTGAATGCGGGAAAGACGCACGTTGAAATTTATATAAAAAGCACAAACATTTGACATGCCTTGCTAGTTAATGACAGCACATTAATTAAAATTTCCAGATTTATGCATTCAGGTTTTATGAACACAGTAAATCTTAATGAATCCCTCACTGCTAGAGCACTCATTCCATCCTAAGTTTCACAGGTAAAAGATTTTCTACATTAGAATTTCTAAGAAATTCATAGCTACCACAGAAATTCAAAAAACAGCTGCCATTTTTAAATCTACGAAACAAATATGTAAAGTGTTAAGTGTAGTAAAATTTACTGCATAATTTGTCAGACAAAACTATAAGTTAAGTAAGACACCATGTAAAGAACCCCACAATATAATTCTGCTGTACCTCCAACACGTCGGCAACAGAGTCTGGCAGATTGAACTCTCTGACAACACGCAGTCGTACTTGTCTTCTCAGCATGCGACGGTCACCAAAGAGCAGGGAGGCAGCACGCTGGTACCCAGGAGAGGACACCAACTCTCTTTCTCTCCGCACCATTGCCAGTACTGTCTCAGAGTCAGGTACTAGAGGGTAATTCGTATGGAAGACATAGTTAATAAACATCAAGAACACTCATACTACATCTACCATTACTTGTTGCTTTAAACACATCCGGATTACTCTCTGAGGCATGTTTAAATAATAACTAGAATACTTTTTCACTTACTAATACACCTCTGGAAAACAGATGAGCATAAAACTTACAGTATATGAAGGGCAAATATTCTCAAGAGAAACCCTGCACACAAAACAAATCAAACTTACATATACATATATAAATGTTTTTTCTCTTAACCCTTTCACTATTTCCCACTTAGATTTACATTATTGATGCCAGTGTCTCTCATACAGATCTACGTCTTAATTAAGCACAGCCCACTCAAGTATGTTGCGAGTATTAAATTTAGCCCAGACATGAGAGAATGAGTCTGTGTGGCAAGGGTACACAGTATAAACAAAATCATGAGTCACGCATGCCTCTGACTCCCAAAACGGTTGCCAGGTAAACCCCAGGTAATGTATATATTAGAATCATTATGTTAAATATTTTAGTATATATTTTCGTGATACAAGTTTTCATGTTGCAAGTCATTTGTAGGATACATTAATCTCATATCTCAGGGGATTGCTGCATATACATATCTAGTTGAATAACCTGTAATAGACGAAAGTGATGAGGTGGAGGGTCGAGTAATGGGTCATTTATTTTAATTTTTTTTTTAAACAAGCCAGCTGTTTTCCAAAGAGACAGTGTGACCCAAAAAAAGAAACACTTTCGCCATCATTCACACATAATCACTGTCTTTGCAGAGGTGGCCAGATATGACAGTTTAGATGTCACTCCAAACAGTCAATATCTCAAACCCCCCATTTTAAAGTGACAGCATTGTACTTCCCACCACCAAGACTCAAGTCTGACTAACCGGTTTCCCTGAATCCCTTCACAAAATATTACCCTGCTCACACTCCAACAGCTTATCAGGTCTCAAAAACCATTCGTCTCCATTCACTCCTATTTAACACGCTCCCATTTGCCTGCTGCATGTCTAGGCCCCTTGCACAAAAAACCTCTTTTGCCCCAACTCTCCATCCTTTCCCAGGACAACCCCTACCCCTCTTCCCCTTCAATACAGATTTATACACCCTCCAAGTCATTCTATTTTGCCTCATCCTTTCTAAATGACCAAACCACCTCAATAACCCCTCTCTTCAGCCCTCTGAATAATACCTTTTATAACTCCACACCTCCTCCTAATTTCCACACAACGAATTCTCTGCATAATATTTACACCACACATTGCCCTAAGACACAATTCCACTGCCACCAGCCTCCTCCTCCTCCTCCTCCTCCTCGCTACAGCATTCACAACCCATGCCTCACACCCATATAAGTGTGTTGGTACAGCTACATTCCCTTCTTTGCCTCAATGCACCACTCGCCTTTTTTCCTTCATCAATTCTATGGTTATCCTCGTCCTTCACAAACCCATCTGCTGACAAATCTACTCCCAAATATTTGAACACATTCACTTCTTCCATACTCCCTTCCTCCAATGTGATATCCAATTTTTCTTTATGTAACTTGTTTGATACCCTCAACACCTAACTCTTATCTATTCTCACTTTCAACTTTCTTTCTTTACACACCATCCCAAACTCGTCTACTAACCTTTGCAACTTCTCTTTAGAACCTCCCAAAAGCACAGTATCATCAGCAAAAATTGGCTGTGACAACTCCCATTTTGTATTTGATTTCCCACCCCTCTCCCCAACACCTTAGCATTTACTTCTTTTCCAACTCCATCTATAAATATGTTCAACAACCATGGTGACATTACACACCCCTGTCTAAGGCTTATTTTTACTGGAAAGTAATATCCCTCTCACACACACCCTAACCTGAGCCGCACTCTCATAAAAACTCTTTACAGCATTTAGTAGCTTACTACTTATGCCATACACATGCAACATCTGCCACATTGCTCCACTATCCACCCTATCTTATGCCTTTTCTAAATCCAATTATGCAATGAAAACATCCCTACCTTTATCTAAATATACTTCAATGTACATATTAAATGCACATATTAAATTTATAAAGCAAAAAGTTTATTAAATAATTTTACTCCTGCTTTACGTTTTAAATTTCAATGCTGGAGTTTTGAGACTCTATGACCGCGGGTTCAATCCCGGCCGGGGGTATGGTTTCAATGCGTAATTATGGGGTTTTCCATATAAGAGGAAGCAAGAAAATGTTAATCATCTTTATAATATTTTTACAACTTCATGCAAAATGAAATGTTTATGCATTCATTTAGGATGCAAAGATATCAACATTCAACTGTAGGCTGATACATACTGATGCCATCTTGATACCCAATGATACTGATACCATCAAAACTGGCTGCTACTAATATTTTGGCACACCCCTAGCATTTATTATTCATCCACACAGTCTGTATATTAACCTTCTCCATGTCATTTTATCAGGTATCTCAATCATAACTAGATATTCAAAATGCCTTTCAGCAATATTTTGATATTTACATCTTAACAAAAGTACAAGAATTATGCATGTAGGTATTTTAGATTACAAGAACAATTTATAGCAATTTGCAGGGAAAACCAGTACAACTTAAATCACATTACCATGAATTCAAAAGTAGATATGTTTATCTCATTCATATCAAAATTATAGGGAATCTTTTTAATTATCTGTACATTTGTTCTTATGGAAACCACATGAAAGTGCCACTACTATCACCACATGACAGGGTACCCCCTTAACACCATGACACTGTATCTCCACCCACGACCACTATACAACATAGTCCCACCTAACCAATACATGACAGGGCACACCTTACCACTATATGACAGGGTCCCCCCCTTACAGCTACATGGCAGGGTATCTCTGAGATCACTTGGTAATTCAGTATTAAGAACTCAATTTCATAAACAAAAGAAACCAGAGGTGTAATTCTACTAAAGCACTAAATACTGTTCAGAGAAAAAAAAGGAAAAAAAAAAAATTGCCACAAAACAAGATATATATATTATATGTATATTTACAAAGAGTAAATACACATGCAAGATAGTATACTATTTACCCAAGTTATCCGAGCTCTACTGACCAACTTCTACTCGTCATAAAAAAATAATCAGTACTGCTTAACCCTCAAACTTTGGTGACCTTGAAAAAAGTGCAGTCTCTCCTCACTTAACAACGGAGTTCCGTTCCTAAGAGTAGGTCAGTAAATGAAGTGGTCATTAAACAAGGAGCATACTATATTAGTAGTGGATGTGTGTCAATCATCTTTAGATATTGTTTTAATGTCACTTTTGTACCATTTACAACATCTTTAGTATGTTTTTAAATGTTTATACAGCAGTGTACAGTTTTTTTTTTTTTTTTAACAAGTCGGCCTTCTCCCACCGAGGCAGGGTGACCCAAAAAAAGAAAGAAAATCCCCAAAAAGAAAATACTTTCATCATCATTCAACACTTTCACCACACTTGCACATTATCACTGTTTTTGCAGAGGTGCTCAGAATACAACAGTTTAGAAGCATACACATATAAAGATACACAACATATCCCTCCAAACTGCCAATAACCCAAACCCCTCCTTTAAAGTGCAGGCATTGTACTTCCCATTTCCAGGACTCAAGTCTGACTATATGAAAATAACCAGTTTCCCTGAATCCCTTCACTAAATATTACCCTGCTCACACTCCAACAGATCGTCAGGTCCCAAGTACCATTCGTCTCCATTCACTCCTATCTAACATGCTCACGCACGCTTGCTGGAAGTCCAAGCCCCTCACCCACAAAACCTCCTTTACCCCCTCTCTCCAACCCTTTCGAGGACGACCCCTACCCCGCCTTCCTTACCCTATAGATTTATATGCTTTCCATGTCATTCTACTTTGATCTATTCTCTCTAAATGACCAAACCACCTCAACAACCCCTCTTCTGCCCTCTGACTAATACTTTTATTAACTCCACACCTTTTCCTAATTTCCACACTCCGAATTTTCTGCAAAATATTTACATCACACATTGCCCTTAAACAGGACATCTCCACTGCCTCCAACCGTCTCCTTGCTGCTGCATTTACCACCCAAGCTTCACACCCATATAAGAGTGTTGGTACTACTATACTTTCATACATTCCCTTCTTTGCCTCCATAGATAACGTTTTTTGACTCCACATATACCTCAATGCACCACTCACCTTTTTTCCCTCATCAATTCTATGATTAACCTCATCCTTCATAAATCCATCCGCCGACACGTCAACTCCCAAGTATCTGAAAAATCTTCACTTCTTCCATACTCCTCCTCCCCAATTTGATATCCAATTTTTCTTTATCTAAATCATTTGACACCCTCATCACCTTACTCTTTTCTATGTTCACTTTCAACTTTCTACCTTTACACACATTCCCAAACTCATCCACTAGCCTTTGCAATTTTTCTTTAGAATCTCCCATAAGCACAGTATCATCAGCAAAAAGTAACTGTGTCAATTCCCATTTTGAATTTGATTCCCAAAAATTTAATCCCACCCCTCTCCCGAACACCCTAGCATTTACTTCCTTTACAACCCCATCTATAAATATATTAAACAACCATGGTGACATTACACATCCCTGTTTAAGACCTACTTTTACCGGGAAGTAGTCTCCCTCTCTTCTACACACCCTAACCTGAGCCTCACTATCCTCTTGAAAACTCTTTACAGCATTTAATAACTTACCACCTATTCCATATACTTGCAACATCTGCCACATTGCTCCTCTATCCACTCTATCATATGCCTTTTCTAAATCCATAAATGCAATAAAAACTTCCCTACCTTTATCTAAATACTATTCACATATATGCTTCAATGTAAACACTTGATCTACACATCCCCTACCCACTCTGAAACCTCCTTGCTCATCCGCAATCCTACATTCTGTCTTACCTCTAATTCTTTCAATTACAGTGGACCCCCGCATAACGATGGCATCACATAGCGATTATTTCGCATACCGCTTACTTTAATCGCAAAATTTTTGCCGCGCATACCGATTAAAAACCCGCTCACCAATTTTCGTCCGAGACGCGTCCAATGTGCGCCCTCAGCCAGCCTCACATGTGCCGCCCATGCCATTGTTTACCAGCCAGCCTCCGCGGTAACATCCAAGCATACACTCGGAATATTTCGTATTATTACAGTGTTTTCGGTGCTGTTTCTGGAAAATAAGTGACCATGGGCCCCAAGAAAGCTTCTAGTGCCAACCCTACAGCAATAAGGGTGAGAATTCCCATTGAAATGAAGAAAGAGATCATTGATAAGTATGAAAGTGGAGTGCGTATCGCCGACCTAGTCAAGTTGTACAAGAACCCCAATCAACCATCGCTACTATTGTGGGCACCAAAAAGACAATCAAGGAAGTTTGTTCTTGCCAAAGGTTTAACTGTGTTTTCGAAACAAAGATCGCAAGTGAGGGAAGATGTTGAGAGAGACTTATTGGTGTGGATAAATGAAAAACAGCTAGCAGGAGATAGCGTCTCTCAAGCGATCATATGTGAAAAGGCTAGGAAGTTGCATGAGGATTTAATTAAAAAAATGCCTGCAACTAGTGATGTGTGAGTGAATTTAAGGCCAGCAAAGGTTGGTTTGAGAGATTTAAGAAGCTAGTGGCATCCATAGTGTGATAAGGCATGGTGAGGCTGCCAGTTCGGACCACAAAGCGGCTGAAAAATATGTGCAGGAATTCAAGGAGTACATAAAAAACTGAAGGACTGAAACCTGAACAAGTGTTTAATTGTGATGAAACAGGCCTGTTCTGGAAGAAAATGCCAAGCAGGACCTACATTACTCAGGAGGAAAAGGCACTCCCAGGACATAAGCCTATGAAAGACAGGCTTACTCTTCTCATGTGTGCCAATGCTACTGGCGATTGCAAAGTGAAGCCTTTATTAGTGTATCACTCTGAAACTCCCAGAGCGTTCAGGCAAAAGAATGTCCTCAAGGATAATTTGTGTGTGCTGTGGAGGGCAAACAGTAAGGCATGGGTCACTAGGGAATTTTTCTATAACTGGTTACCCCAAATGCATTTGCCCCCAATGTGAAAGATTACCTAACTGAAAAGAAATTAGAACTTAAGTGCCTCCTGGTGTTAGACAATGCCCCTGGTCATCCTACAAAACGTGGCAGAGCGACTTTATGGGGACATGAGCTTCATTAAGGTGAAGTTTTTGCCTCCTAATACCACTCCCTCCTGCAGCCCATGGACCAGCAGGTTATTTCCAACTTCAAGAAACTGTACACAAAAGCTCTGTTTGAAAGGTGCTTTGTAATGACCTCAGAAACTCAACTGACTCTAAGAGAGTTTTGGAGAGATCACTTTAATATCCTCAATTGTGTAAACCTTATAGGTTTAAGGCTTGGGAGGAAGTGACTAAGAGGACCTTGAACTCTGCTTGGAAGAAACTGTGGCCAGAATGTGTAGACAAAAGGGATTTTGAAGGGTTTGAGGCTAACCCTGAGATGATTATGCCAGTTGAGGAATCCATTGTGGCATTGGGAAAGTCCTTGGGGTTGGAGGTTAGTGGGGAGGATGTGGAAGAGTTGGTGGAGGAGGACAATGAAGAACTAACCACTGATGAGCTGATAGATCAACTTCAAGAGCAAGAGGCCAGACCTGGGGAAACTGGTTCAGAGGAGGGGAGAGAGAAATTGAAGAAGTTGCCTACTACAAAGATAAAGGAAATCTGTGCAAAGTGGCTTGAAGTGCAAACCTTCATGGATGAAAATCACCCTCACACAGCTATTGCAAGCCGTGTTGGCAACCTGTACACTGACAATGTTGTGAAACACTTTAGGGAAGTCATAAAGGAACGAGAGGTACAGGCCACTATGGACAGATATCTTGTGCGAAAGAAGTCCAGTGACTCTGAAGCTGGCCCTAGTGGCATTAAAAGAAGAAGGGAAGTAACCCAGAAAAGGACTTGCTACCTCAAGTCCTAATGGAAGGGGATTCCCCTTCTAAACAGTAAGAAGATAATGCTCTCCCCTCCTCCCATCCCATCAATCATCACCAGATCTTCAATAAAAGTAAGTGTCATGTAAGTGTGCATGCCTTTTTCAGTTTGTGTGTATTAAAATTAACATTTCATGTGGTAAAAAAAATTTTTTTTCATACTTTTGGGTGTCTTGCACGGATTAATTTTATTTCCATTATTTCTTATGGGGAAAATTCATTCACATAATGATTATTTCGCATAACAATTACTCCTCTTGCACGGATTAAAATCGTTAACCGGGGGTCCACTGTATAACCCTACCGTACACTTTTCCTGGTATACTCAGTAAACTTATTCCTCTATAATTTTTAGTCTCCTTTGTCCCCTTTCCCTTTATATAAAGGGACTATACATGCTCTCTGCCAATCCCTAGGTACCTTCCCCTCTTTCATACATTTATTAAACAAAAGTACCAACCACTCCAACACTATATTCCCCCCTGCTTTTAACATTTCTGTCATGATCCCATCAGTTCCAGCTGCTTTACCCCTTTCATTTTACATAATGCCTCACGTACCTCCCCCACACTTACATTCTGCTCTTCTTCACTCCTAAAAGATGGTATACCTCCCTGACCAGTGCATGAAATTACTGCCTCGTTTCTTCCTTAACATTTAAAAGTTCCTCAAAATATTCTCGCCATCTACCTAATACCTCCATCTCCCCATCTACTAACTCCCCTACTCTGTTTTTAACTGACAAATCCATACTTTCCATAGGCTTTTCTTAACTTGTTTAACTCACTCCAAAATTTTTTCTTATTTTCATTAAAATTTCTTGACAGTGCCTCTCCCACTCTATCATCTGCTCTCCTTTTGCACTCTCTCACGACTCTCTTTACCTTTCTTTTACTCTCCATATACTCTGCTCTTCTTATAACACTTCTGCTTTGTAAAAACCTCTCATAAGCTACCTTTTTCTCTTTTATCACACCCTTTACTTCATCATTCCACCAATCACTCCTCTTTCCTCCTGCCCCCACCCTCCTATAACCACAAACTTCTGCCCCACATTCTAATACTGCATTTTTAAAACTATTCCAACCCTCTTCAACCCCCCCACTACTCATCTTTGCACTAGCCCACCTTTCTGCCAATAGTCGCTTATATCTCACCCGAACTTCCTCCTTCCTTAGTTTATACACTTTCACCTCCCTCTTACTTGTTGTTGCCACCTTCCTCTTTTCCCATCTACCTCTTACTCTAACTGTAGCTACAACTAAATAATGATCCGATATATCAGTTTGCCCCTCTGTAAACATGTACATCCTGGAGCCTACCCATCAACCTTTTATCCACCAATACATAATCTAATAAACTACTTTCATTACGTGCTACATCATACCTTGTATATTTATTTATCCTCTTTTTCATAAAATATGTATTACTTATTACCAAATCTCTTTCTACACATAGCTCAATTAAAGGCTCCCCATTTACATTTACCCCTGGCACCCCAAATTTACCTACTACTCCCTCCATAACATTTTTACCCACTTTAGCATTGAAATCCCCAACCACCATTATTCTCACACTTGATTCAAAACTCCCCATGCATTCACTCAACATTTCCCAAAATCTCTCTCTCTCCTCTACACTTCTCTCTTCTCCAGGTGCATACACGCTTATTATAACCCACTTTTCACATCCAATCTTTATTTTACTCCACATAATCCTTGAATTAATACATTTATAGTCCCTCTTTTCCTGCCATAGCTTATCCTTCAACATTATTGCTACTCCTTCTTTAGCTCTAACTCTATTTGAAACCCCTGACCTAATCCCATTTATTCCTCTCCACTGAAACTCTCCCACCCCCTTCAGCTTTGTTTCACTTAAAGCCAGGACATCCAGCTTCTTCTCATTCATAACATCCACAATCATCTCTTTCTTATCTGCACAACATCCACGCACATTCAGACTTCCCACTTTGACAATTTTCTTCTTCTTATTCTTTTTAGTAATCTTTACAGGAAAAGGGGTTACTAGCCCATTGTTCCCGGCAGTGTACAGTATACTGTAATAAACAGAATAGAGGAAATAAGCTCTAATATACATTACTTAGTTATGCATAATGGTCAGAGAGCTGGATGAAAGTCCAAGTGGCTGTTAAACAAGTACTTCGTTAAGTGAGGAGAGACTGTAGTCCCATGCGTGTGTGTGTGTGTGTGTGTGTGGGGGGGACAAAGTAAGGTGATGAAGTTATCAAATGATTTAGAAAAAGAAAAATTGGATATCACATTGGAGAGAGGGAGTATGGAAGTGAATGTTTTCAGATACTATTTGGGAGTGGAAGTGTCAGCGGATGGGTTTATGAAGGATGAGGTTAACCATAGAATTGATGAAGGAAAAAAGGTGAGTGGTGCGTTGAGGTATATGTGGAGACAAAAAACGTTATCTATGGAGGCAAAGAAGGGAATGTATGAAAGTATAGTGGTACCAACTCTCCTATATGGGTGTGAAGCTTGGGTTGTAAATGCTGCAGCAAGGAGGCAGTTGTAGACACTGGAGATGTCCTGTCTAAGGGCAATGTGTGGTGTAAATATTATGCAGAAAATTCGGAGTGTGGAAATTAGGAGAAGGTGTGGAGTTAATGAAAGTATTAGTCAGAGGGTTGAAGAGGGGTTGTTGAGGTGGTTTGGTCATTTAGAGAGAATGGATCAAAGTAGAATGACATAGAGAGCATATAAATCTGTAAGGGAAGGAAGGCTGGGTAGGGGTTGGCCTCGAAAAGGTTGGAGGGAGGGGGTAAAGGTTGTTTTGTGGGCGAGGGGCTTGGACTTCCAGCAAGCGTGTGTGAGCGTGTTAGATAGGAGTAAATAGAGACCAATGGTTTTTGGAACCTGACGAGCTGTTGGAGTGTGAGCAGAGTAATATTTAGTGAAGAGATTCAAGGAAACCAGTTATTTTTATATAGCTGGACTTGAGAACTGGAAATGGGAAGTATAATGCCTGCACTTTAAAGAGGGGTTTGGGATATTAGTAGTTTGGAAGGATATGTTATATATCTTTATATATGCTTCTAAACTGTTGTATCTGGGCGCCTCTGCAAAAACAGTGATTATGTATGAGTGAGGTGAAAGTGTTAAATGACGATGAAAGTATTTTCTTTTTTGGGATTTTCTTTCTTTTTGGGTCACCCTACCTCGATGGGAGACAGCCGACTTGTTAAAAAAAAAAAAATAAATCCCCATTTGCTGATGATGTAAAAATTGTGAGGAAAATAATAACAGATGAACACAAGCAAAGGTTCCAAACAGATAAGGAA